CCCCCCCTCTCTCTCTCTCTCTCTCTGGCAAACCATTCTTTCCTCGTTATTCGAATTTATACACTTTTTCTGTTATCTTTTTGTTCTCGCACGTTACAAGAATTGATAAAAAATTAACGCCAGCGGATTCTCGGTTTACGTGACATAAAGTTCCGCGCGCGAAACGTGCGGTTAATTCGACGTCGCGATGAGTCTGATACGATTTTATATGTACCGTGGTTACTGATCTCCTTTCCTGAATGCAACACAGTACCGTATAAAAGTCGAGTGAAAAAAATCTGCCATTGTGCTTTGACGTTCGCGTTTTTTTCTTTGTTTCCTTGTTTAATCAAAATTAACATGTCCGACCATCCATTCGATGTTTTTTTTTTTTTTTTTTTTATATCCAAAGCTAATGAATATCCCTATCAAAGAAAGCAAAAAAAGTGAATAAAAAAAAAAGATCATTAATTACATCGGTGACAAACGCGTCATCGCGTTTTACCATTGAAACGTTGAAAATATTTGCGCGAGATGGAGACTCGACGATATTAACTCGCGCGCAAGGAGGGTATAAAATTTCAAAGAATCACTCGATTCCGATAATTATCGCGCCAACGAGCTCTCAAACAGATGCAGATTTTTACTCTGTGTGCGTGTATGTGTGTCTCGCGATCAACGCTATTTTCAACGCGACAGGGTGAGAGTCGATGACTGCATGGACTAGGCTGACCCAAATTTCGATGACTATCCCTGTATCGATCCCCCTCCTTCCCCACCCCCTTCGCTGTTATCGTGATAATGAAGGGTTCGAACAAGTTTGCCAGCGTACCGTTCGCCTGCTTGCCGAGAGCTAGGTCAAGTGGAAAATTTGACACATAATCGTTTCCCCGTTGATGTGTGTCGATTGTCCATGATGATTCCCCGCCCGTTATGCTCCTATTCCACTTTTCCCGAGGAGCTCGAGCACGTACTAATATTTACCATACCTCGTACTACCAACCCTTACGCAAAGGGGGTTAGCAAATCAAAATCTGGTGACTACATTGTAATCTAACTCTCGTTCGTCTGCAAACGGACGTATGTATCTCTCTCTCTCTCTCTCTCTCTCTCTCTCTCTCTCCCGTCTCGAGCAGAGATTTGCAATTTAAAATGAACAAACCACTTGAGAAATTTCACCACGCCCCAATTCACCGGCGGCCCTTTTAATCTGAAAAATAGGTCGTGCGTCGATCGAGAACGTCTCTCCTTATCGCCTGCCAGTAAGCAAGTCTGCCCGTGGGGCCGACAGCTCGATGATTAACCAAATTACACGAGCCAAGCGGCGCATTGTAATATCGAGTGGTTCGACGAGTGGCCAATACACGTTCCTACCCTTTAACTTTCCTCCGATTCCTCTCACGGTCAAACTACGTTGCACCAACGGCGCACGGTGTATCGTTCGATCCGAGAGAGGCTAGATTCTATTTGTAGCCCTTTCCCCGCTTCTCCCGCTGTGCACCATCCCTGCTCACCTCTACGCTTGCCACCCCTGTTTCCGGTACACACGTGCAGTTTCACGTGGATGGAGAAGGATGCCGCGAATAGACGAGGACACGTAAAAGATGCGTGCACGTATATGCACGTGTCGAACGAGAGGTGCATTTACGCGAGAGCGAGATGGACAGACAGATAGAGAGAGACAAGCAATGACAACGACAACAACGGAAAGAGGGGGACGAACGGGGAGTGGTTTCGCAGGGTGGAAATACGTGCGGTGAATCTTGGCTCACGGAAACCAACGCGATATCTGGCTTTGCCAGTTTTCTAACCCGTGGTCAGGCTCACTCCGCCTATCGATACCGATTACGTGTTCCTTCTTGCGGATTCGCATCACGAAAGGGGATGCAATGGGATTAATGCTCTTCTCCGTTGCCTATTCACCTCTGCCATTTGCTTCGCCCATCCAGGCCGACGTTCTCTTCTTCGACTTTGCTCGGAGCATGAACTTAGGGGAAGATCACCGGGAAATCCGATGACTGATTTACGTCACGAGTTGGTTACCCCGAATTCGGGTTAAGCGGATTTTCGGTTAATTGATAACCGGCCAGAGCGATGCGGTTAAGTCAGATTACGACAGGGAAATCGGGTGAACTGTTCGGCAAACGATGATTCGCTTTTTTTTTTCTTTTTTTTTTTTTTATATCACGAGTTGAGCAACGATCGAGCAACAATGCAAGCTTCAATGTCTGTTGGAAAATAATATGTACGTCGTTTGTCGC